GTTCTTTCTTAAGCCAGTCTTCATGGGCCGTGAGGAACACACTGGGAACTGGCAAGGAGTAACAGTAACCACCCGCCAGCAAAATTGACGAACCTTCCTTTTCTTCAAGGATTACTCAGAAGCAGTCTGAAGGGTAGTTTCTTGGCATGTAACGATGCCAGAAACGAATGAACGGATCGTAGAGGGATTGATTGTTGAAATGATGCGGGCAGACCTTCGACTTTCTGCATGGAATCGATCACTAGTTGCGTTATGTTGTATCAGTTTTGCGAGTTAATAAAAAGTTTTAATAAAAAGTCGCCTGCAGGTGAGAAAGTGCGTCATTTCTATTTTTCTGACCAGCGCAAAATTACTATTTGTCCCAGCTAAGAGGCAGAAATATAAGCGGATGTTAGGGGATAATTGGACGAATTTGGAGACGAAGGAGGAAAACTGCTGAAAGTAAAGAATGTGACGAGAGCTTAAATGCAGACTTGTTTAGTGTTCAAGTAAAGAAGGTGAAATATCAGTGAATATCGGATTCCCGTCAAATTCATAATTTCACTATGTTGCAGGTTTTACGCAATATAATGATATCGAGAACCCACTTGTCTCACAGCTGGTTCTCTCAGACGGGAAGCAGTTTTTCTTTGCAATAGCTCAGTTGAATACACTGTTGATCAATGTTGATATTGAGGTGATTTTTCTCTGTTCTTTGGCAAATGTGCTTTTTCAGTTGGTTTTTTAAATCTCCCTCAGTAAATGTCTTGTTTTTCCAAGCTGAGGGAATTTTTGGCAGAGTTTCTGGAGATTTGAACGAAAGTTTATAAGCTGTTTGTGTGAGCTTTCAGGGAATAATCAATAAGCGGGTTAATTTGTGCTACGTGGAAGGACCATTCAATCTGTATGATGAGTACAACCACAGTACGGGAATGTTTCATTTTCACCAAAAAAGCGGCAGTGACGAGGCGGGAAATCAGTTCAATCTGCATGTGCTTGGTCGACTGATGCAAATGATTGTGAGGGATATTCCGGTGAGGGACGAATCTGAAGATATTGAACAGTTACCGAAGTATGTGCCTGTGACATTTGAAAGTGTCCCGTAAAAAATTATGTGTTGTTGATGTTAACTCTATTAATTTGTTCTCTGATTCTCCGGCTCTGTAGCCGGAGATTGTTACAGTTGTGTTGACCGGTGTTGCATCGCCTGTTGATCAGCCTGCTGACGATCCTGACGTTCGTTTCATCTTCTAAAGGGATCACTAGGTTAACAGTTTTCCCGACAAAAGTACTTTATAAGGTCTATTCGGCAAATATTAAAGCTAGTATCAGCCGGGTTGAAAGGCGAATTGTGATGGCTGAAAGGAGGAGAAACGATGGGAAAGATGGGGAAGAGCTGCGTGGTGGTGCAGGTCTCAGGGAGTCGTAACAGAGCACAGAGGACGAGGTTATGAACTGGAAAAGAGTTTGGGAATTTGACTGATGATGGGAATTGAAGATAGGACCAGAAATTGTGGTAAAAATAATATTCAAGAAGAAATTGGTGGTGAAACTAAGCTAATATGTTTGTGCGCGGCTCAAAAAT